ATCAAATCAGCATCAGTAAGAAAGAAATTTTGTCGGGATTTATTACTAAGAGTTTGTTTATAAATTTGTTAATTATTATAGCTAAAAACAAAATTTTCAGATGTAAGTTATATCTTGACTTTCACATGTTACATCTAGAAATTGACAGTGAGGGTCGGTTGAAAACAAAACTTTACGACAAAAGAGATGATTTCAGCTTCCCAATTGTGAACTTTCCATTTCTATGTAGCAACATTCCAGCAGCGCCTGCATACGGAGTATATATTTCCAAATTGATACGATATTCCCGGGCTTGTGTTTCCTATCATGATTTCCTTGATAGAGGATTGCTGCTCACAAGGAAGCTATTAAACCAAGAGTTCCAAATGGTGAAGTTGAAATCATCCCTTCGTAAATTTTACGGACGCCATCACGAGTTGGTTAACCGTTATGGAATAACCGTTTCACAGATGATATCGGATATGTTCCGTATGTCGTTACTACAATACCCTTCCCTTTTCACGAATGTGACTTACCGAATTAGACTATTTACCGGATTTGTAATAACATAAGCAACACGACGGGTGCCACATGTGGAGCATGATCTGCTTACCCTTCCGGAGCACCTGAGATTACCCCCAGTTTTTGGTGGGGTTCGTGTTGCTTAGTCTTTAGTTTTCTATGTTGTGTCATCTGTACTATTATTTGTCTGTTTGTCTTTTTATTTTTGGCCATGGCGTTGTCAGTTTGTTTTCGATCGATGAGTTTGACTGTCCATCTGGTATCTTTCGTCCCTTTTTTTAAGAAATATAGCTCCTAGTGTAATAGGACTTAAATCCAGAATAAAACAATACCAATCTAATGAATTTTATATTGCAAACAAAAGTAAAAGAGCAAATGCTTATGAAAGATTCTGGTCCCCACTACATACTATATTTTCATGATTTATTATCATTTATACTTTAAATTATACTGTAATAAGCAGTTTATATTTGATTTTTACTTTATATATAGACTTGATGCATACTAATGGTAAGATTGCAGTGACTGTGTGTTAGTAGTGAGAGAAAGTGTGAGTGTGAGTAGCTATTTTTTTCTTCAATAACTATATTCATGTATTATGAATATGAATTTAAAAAACAAATTGAATAGTCTTGTACATATTTTTCAATATTTACCCCAAAAACCATAGTCAGGTGGTGATTGTAGGGGTATTGTAAAATCCTGACTATTGAACAACAAATAAAAGATAAAAACAAAAACACTCTCAAACGTGTCCATCCCCTTAAAAGTGTATGATGCCCCCCAAAAGTGTGTACTTCGCCCAAACAAGTTCTTGAACTCTTAAATCGCTCAAATGTGTCCGATAACAGTTGTTCGCCAGAAAGAGTCCAGTTAAAACGCAAGAACGTGTAAAAACGTTAAGCGCTGATATGTCCTCAGTCCGTCAATAACGTTTACGACAGGATTCAGTGATAGTTCCAATTTGGGATATAATTGGTTTACCAGGAGGTGGCGTTATTCTAATAGAATCAAATTTGTTATTTGTTATTTTATAAAACCATTGGGTCTAATTTGTGCATTTCAGGAAGGACATGCATGTTCCCTTGTCCATAATTTTGTTGATTGCTTTTTATTGGATAATCAAATGTGGTTTTGTCTAGAGCACCTCGTCTATAAATACATATTATGATAATGTTATTATCAAGATTGTATCTACTGTTTGCAAAATCGAAGGATTGCAGTTTTGTATAGTGTGGCGAATCAAATTTGCGATATGCTTCAGATATGTATTTGATTTTATCAATTATTACAACATTGTTGCTCTTGTCAGATTTTATGATTATATTTTGTCATTATATGACGCTGAAACACTACATGTCTCAGAACTGGTCAAGTTATCTCTAAAATCTTGAACTTGCAGTGAGAATAATTCAAGTTTTGTTTGATTAATTTAATGTTCAACGGTATTACAGCAAAACTTAACGCAAGCTAAACATACATATGCTTAATCTATCTCAAAGACGTCGGAGCGGTGCAGAATATCTCCTTTTATCAAAAGGATTGAGATTTATTCCTAAACCGTCAAATCAAATGGCAGAATCTGAACTAATGAAAGATTTTAATGAAACGTGCAGGAAAATGAGGTGTCGATATTAATGACCCAATCCATCCATTCAGATTGAGAATATACCACAAACAACAATATTTTACTGTAATACCCTTGCAAATCATATTGATCAAATCAATTTTGAATTTGAGACCCCCTTCTGAATGTCTACTAGTAGCTTCGACATAAGTCAAATGTTTACAAATTGTCATATTTATGAAATATTAACTGCAGTTAGAAAAGCCTTTGATAATTTCGACAAATCACACTTCAAAATAAATGTTAACCTACAGATAATTTGATTCATCTCATTGAATCAATACTCCGGAACAATGTTTTTGAATTCAATTACAAAATGTATATCCTATAAAAACAACAAACATGTGCAGCCATTGGCGCTATTCCTTCCCCACATATTTGCAACATCTTTATATATCAAATACTAAACGACATAATGTCTAAATTTAAGTTAAAACAAATATTCTTCATCGGGAGATATTTGGACGATGGCATTTTAACTTTTGTCGGAAATCAATTATTTGACTTGGCAAAAAGTCATCATAAACTTTTGAAATTCAATTACGAAATATCAGGAAAAAAATTTTCTTGACCTTAAAATATAAGAGGGTTCACGGATTCAGTGTTATAACATATAAGATACGAACATTTATTTCTACCCTACATATACATTCTTATATCTCTATAGGGGAAGCAGCCATAAGGTAGACGTGTTTGTAGGTTTCATCAAAGGAGAGGTCATCCGTTACATTAGAAATGCAAACAATGATGATGATTTACAACATGTATTCTCACTGTTCGACTTCAATTTGATGGCAAGAAGTTACCAAGAAGCTGAGATAATTAATTGTTTTTGGCTTTTAACTAGCTTTCAGTAACTGCGAGTACTCTCATATCCTACTTTCGTGTTAATGTTGATACAATTTGTTATGCATTTTTGTTAATTAATGTTTACTTATTTAGTGTTATATCTCGTCTCACTATTTATAATATATACCATTTTTAATACGTTTTTGGTATGACAATAAAGTTTCACTTCTTTTCTGGTACTATGAACAACAAAATATTTTTTTTTGCAAAAAATATTTCGGTACTCCATGCATACCTTACAACAATTCTTTTTTTTATGTACCTTATGCACGTTTTTTTATTTGGCGGCATTTTGTCCAAGGTTATGGTCGTCTTTCTAATATTGTTTTACATCTCATCCCCCCCCTTTTTTTTTATCAATTTTGTATTTACATTGTGTCATAGATCAAAATTATTCGTTCAGTGTATGTTCACTTGTTTTTGTTTATATGTCTTTTGATTGAGTTAAGACATTTCAATTGATATTGCATTTGTTTGCAACTGTCCTAAGTCAGAAACCTGATGTTCTGTGGTTGTCGTTTATTGATGTGGTTCATAAATGTTTCTCGTTTCTCGTTCTTTATATAGATTACACCTTGGTTTTCCTGTTTGAATGGTTTTAATGTACATCCACGAATTCCCACCAATTAAATGCCATTAATAAAATGATCATTTATTTATGCAAGAATAATAGTACTCTAAAAGATATGCGCTCTTGTTTATATATTCATATTTTGAACTGTTTACATCAATCCTACAATAATTTAGTGTTTGGGCGGGTATGTTTTGATATTTGTATAAGTGTTTTTATTTATAATGAATAGATATAAAGAGGTGTGGTATGAGTGCCAGTGAAACAACTCTCCATCCAAGTGACAATTTGAAAAAGTAAACCATTATTGGTCAAAGTACGGCCTTCACGACGGAGCCTTAGTTTACACCGAACAGCAAGCTACAAAGGGCCCAACAAATGACTAGTGTAAAACCAATTAAACAGGAAAACCAACGGTCTAATCTATATAAACGAGATGGGAAACACTTATGAACCACATAAACAAACGACAACCACTGAACATCAGTTCATGCCTACCTCTTAAGGCATAAACTTGTTAAAGCGGTTGTTTATAGAAATATGCTGAGATCGATTCAAAGCATGTATACAAACTTAAAAAGCTGTTTTCGACTAAGCGGTAATCTAACAGATTTGTTTTCGATCGAAACTGATGTTCGTCAAGGAAATTATTTGGCTCCCACATTATTTGCAATCTTCATCAACGACTTGACTACAGATATAAATTCTTTGAATTGTGGAATCCGTCTAGATACTAAATTTTAAAGCAGTACATTACTTTATGCTGACGATATTGTGCCTATGTCGGATACAGAGAACAGAGATTACAAACAATTAACAACACCTAATAACTGGTCTTTGGAATGGAGCTTGTGATTGAAATGTGACAAAACGAAAGTTATGCACATTAGACCAAGGTCATCTTCGTGCAGAGACACAGTATTTAAGACGGGGAACACAACTATCGAATACACAACAAGATATCGATACCTAGGACTTACAATATCGGAAACCCTAGAATATAACGAGTGCGTGAACGAACTCATCACAGCTACTAGTAGACCACTTGGTGCCTTATCATCAAAAGATTTTCTGGATGGCTTTGAATACGAAACAAACACCAAATTATTCGCAAGTACAGTTATCCCAATCTTGGACTATACATCTGGTGTCTGGGGTTACATGCCTTACGATCAGAGAGCAATCAGGACATTTATGGGAGTTGGGAAATGTAATTCGATTCCGGCTATTTGTGGTGATATGCGTTGGAATCCTGTATATGTCCGCCGCCAGTGCAACATGATACGACTTTGGCATAGAATAGCTAGTATGCATGTAAGTAAGGTTCCAAATCGTATTTTCCAATAGGATTCAACATTCTCAGAAAAAGATGCGAAAACATGGTAACCGAGCTAAAATCATTGATGGAAAAATGGGAACTTTTAAATTTGTTGAACAATAATTACACAAATGAACTAAGCGTAAAGTTTATTGCAAACTATTCAGAAATTTTGCTCCGTCAATAGCTAAAATCATTGATGGAAAAATGTGAATTTTTGGATTTGTTGAACAATAATTACACAAATGGACTAAGCGTTAAGTTTATTGCAAACTATTCAGAAATTTTGCTCCGTCAAAAGCTTCTCAAAAATGGTAACTGGATTTTAAGAGCATGCCTAAATTGCGAACTTTTAAATGTCTCGAAACAAACTTTGAAACACAGCAGTACATAACCACTAATATAACACGACAACATATATAGGTTTTAGCCAGAATGCGTTGTGGTACTTTTCCATTGGAATAAGAGTTATCGTGGTATCCCGTCAAATAGAGATTTTTGCTAAGTTTGTTATGACAATGTATCCGTTGAGGGCAAACCCATTTTTTAGTTCAATGTCCTTTATATTTGTATGAAAGAAACAACGCCTTTACTGAATTTCAGCAACGTAATATCATAGACATTTCCACTTTTTCTGATAACGAAATACTCATTAAATTGCTTACTACTGACTGTAAACTAGTGTTAAACTATATATTCAATATTTTAAAAATCTCGAGCTCAGTTAATTTCTCATCAAGACGTATAAGGAATCTTGTTTAAAAATGTGCTTAAAGTATAAATTTCATAATTTTAATATAAGTAATATATGTTAACTTACAGTGCCTTGTAAGCCTTTGAAGAATGGGTGATTGACTTTGTATATATATTAGCGGTAATAAGTAAAATTAGGTATTAAGCTTAAATACTAGGCAATAAGCTAACGCCTAGGCATTAAGTTATTGCCTGTAACCAATCAAAAAGGAACTATTTTGTTTAAAATATGTACTACTTTCTTGTATTTTCTTTCCGACCGGGCCCGACTTAGTGGTTCTATACCTTTAGCCATACGCCTCACTCAAAATCCCCAATAGGTTGTAAAATGTCAAAATTCACTTATAATTAACTATTCATACATCAAGAACATAAAATACTGTGGATTAGACATGTTGACAAATCAATAATAACATTTGTATTGTTTAATTTCATCTAGTAAGTAGTAAAAATAGTAGTTGTCATCAATTCTTCTGGTACGTCGAAATCTGTGAAGAAAAAAAAAATATAAATGATTAACAAAGGTTTCATATTGCTTAATCAAATTCAATTGGCCCCTTACTTTACGTATATATTTTCATATAAACCATATTTGATTCTTCTTCTACATTGTACAGCAAAATAACAAATTATAGTAACGAAGAAACATAATCAAATGATCATTTATTGGCATAATATTAAAACAAGAAGATGTGCTGTGGTTGCCAATTCACAATGAGACAACTTTCCACAAGGGACCAAAAGACGTAAATGTAATCAAATATATGTCACCACATGACCTTCAACAATGATAAAAACACCATTCTTATAGGAAGCTGAGGACGAGAACTATTTACGGATGTGCTATAAAATTAATGTAACTGTTTTAAATAGCAGTATAAATTTGGTCTAAAATGACTAAAGACTATAATTTATTTGAATAAAATCTTTTGTACGAAAAAAAAATCAACTGTCCCCATCCGCTTTATAAGTGGTGTCCTTCCACTGAATAATTCTAAGTTATGTGGTTATGTGATCTATTACTTTTTATTATTGTTTTTTAATAACTATCCCTACCAAATATTTCCCAAATGATTGGAAATGACTGGAAAAGTACTATAACCCTACCTATTTGAAGCCTTAAGTTAACAGTGGCATCACATCTAACACCAATAAAATATCATCAACAAAAGTAATCGACAAAGATATATCTTTTAAAACGATGTAATCTTGAAGTTAGAAAGATATCATTTTTGCGGCAAAGCTATTGCTAATGTTAAATAGTACCAAATAAATATGTATGTACAGTGATACTACATCAGATCAAAGCAATGCAAATGTTGAGAAGCAAACATAAATTTCCCAAAGTACCGGGGAATATATCATGTGGTAGAACAATCTAAGTTTGTCAAATTATTTCAACATTTAACGAACTCTTGAAGTACAGAACATTATATATATGGAAACACTGTAATGCAGGCTTCCATTATAAAGTTATTGTTGGTTATAAATGTCCACTCATTCATGTTTCGATCTAATGGCCTGGAAATAATCATATTGTGGTACTACAAGGAATGATCTTAGATAATTAAATATAAGATTTAGAAAGGCCACACTAATTTTCTTTGCTATTTTTGGTCAGTATCCCTTACATATTGTTCTATGATAACCTAAACTATCATAGTTCAGCAGAATTAATAAACGATAAAACCTCTTGATTTCAGTTTCGTCCCCATCACTATCCGTCTACATGCTTTATAACTTTAATACTCGGAAAATGTTCCTGGTTTGTTCCTAATGTTTTCAAAACCATGTAAATTTGTCAATATTGTTAAGATTCGAGTAAATCGTATTAACTTTTAACAGACCTTTACAAGTTTCCGACTTTTCATCAGAACTATCTTCACACTGGAGGTATCCATCACAAAATTTAGTAATATGAAGACATTGAACATTATCATCACACTTCTTCCAATGTTCCTTACATGGATATGCTACAAACAAAAAATCTAAGTCATAATTTTATCTAGTGCGAATATTACGACGTTATTTGATTTAATCTAACTGTAAATGTTTCAAGATTAAAAAAATATAACAGGAAGAGGCAAAAAATACCAAAGTGATACTAAAACTCATAATCGAAAACAAATTGACAATGCCATTGCAAAAAACCGACGAAAAAGACAAACAACAGTTCAAAAACACAACAACAAAAAAACTCGGTAACACAAACCACACACAACATTAGGGGTTATAGCAGGTGCACCGAGAGGGTGAGCTAATTTTTCCTATTAAATAAATTGATAACTAATATCAATTATTTGGGCATCACACAAAAGCAGATTGATTATTAGGAGTGATCCCAAATGCTCCGGAAAAGTATCCAGACCATGTGGCACGCGTCGTACGCGAGTTGCTCATGTAAGTACAAATCCGCTGAAAAGTTTTAATCAGCACGTTGGAGGAAAAGAGGACTGGATATTGGTTACGACGAATTTATCAGTCATCTTCTGTTAAACAAATATTCCATAACGGTCAACCAAATCGTGATGGCGTCTCAAAATACCGCTCTTCAATATCAGTCCATAAAACCCCGTTATCAACCGACGAAACTAGTGAAAACAACTGTCATTTTCCTGACTTGGTACAGGTATTTTTCTGAATACAAATATAGTTAAAAGTAAATTTGTCAAAGACGTCAAGAAAAATGTGTTTTGTCACGTTATGCTTTATTTATGCAAAATTCAAAGTTTATTGGTTTTGTTGCTGGCATAACAAGTGATGCTGCAAGCATAGTAAAAGACGCATACACTGTCAACGCATCCGTTCTCGCTTGTAGAGTTCATACGATTCCCTCATTGTTAGTTTGTTACCTTGATGTGTCTCTTTGTACTCGATTAACGAGATTTGAACATTGATTTAACTACTGTCCCCATAAGATATCACATTGCACTTGAAATAAAGGATAAATAAGATATAGTTAAGTATGCTTCATGATATGACTTTCCTATACTTCGTCCTGTGTCTTTTCATAGAAAGTTGTTGCTTACACGGAAGTTATTGAACCAAAGGTTTCAAATGGTAACGTTGAAATCATCCCATCGTAGATTTACGGACGCCACCATGATTTGGTTTACCGATATGGAATATACGAGTCAGAAATAAGTATGTATATGTTCCGACTGTTACTTGGTTTTGTTTCGCTGCATCCTAGCTTTTCTCTGTATTTGTTTAGGTTCGGGTAGTTGAATCTTTTTTTTTTTGTGTGTGGTGTTTTGTTGATTTTTTTTTCGTTTTTTTTTCAGGTTAGTGTTGTCTGATTTTTTTCTATTTATAGTTTTTGATTGGCTCGTTTGTATTTTTCTCCTTCTTTTTGCAAGTTTAGCTTTGTGTATAATTTCAAAAAATATACCATATCATCCAAAACATAATATTTTTTTCCGGATTAATTATTCCTACTCAATATTTTCAAAATGGTAGAAGAGGTTCTATAACCCAAACTATGTCGAACATTCAAATTAACAGTGACATTACATTGGACACCAATAAGCATGATCATGATAAAACATTCTTAACAAAAAACAAAAATCAACAATATACATCTTTTAAAACGATGTATTACATGTATAGAGGTTTAAAAGATATCCTGTTTTCGGCAAAGCTATTGATAATTTTAAATTATACCAACAAAATATGTACATGATGTATGTACAATGACACACCATCAGATCGCAAAGATACAAATGTTGACAAGCAAATATAAATTTCCAAACGTTTCGGCCAGGTATACCATGTGGTAGAAAATTTAAGTCTTTCAAATGATATCAACATTTAACGAAATCTTGAAGTTCAGAATATGATATTATATAGAAACACAGTAGGTCAGACTACCAGTCTAATGTTATTTTCGGTTATAAGCGTCTACTTGTAGTTGCTTCGACTAAACTGTCTGAAAATGTTCATATTCTAGTACTACAGACGCGCAAAATTATCTCCGACAACTAAAATTAAGATTTAGAAAACCCCAAAAAGCTATTTTTGGTCAGTATGCCTTACATATTGTTCTATGATAACTTAAAAGATAATAATTCAGAATCAATAAGTGGTAAACCCCCTTCATTCCGAGCTTATCCTTATCACTATCTGTCTACATACCTAATAACTTTATTACTTTGAAAAGGTTCCTGGTTTGATCAGAATGTTTGAAAAGAACCATGTAAATTGTCAATATTGTTACGATTCAGGTAAAAACATGTTCCCTTTAAACAAACCTTCACACATTTCCGACACTTCATCAGAGCCATCTGAACATTCTGTGGTTCCATCACATAATTCATTTATGTGAATACATTGAATATTATCTTTACACTTCATCCAATGTTCCATACAAGGATAGGCTACAAACAACAAATCTAAGTTATAGTTTTTATCTGTTATAGATAATGCATATCTTAAGGTTTTTTTTAACATACCGAGGGGAGTCAGGATTGATCAAATGAAAGACCGACCGTAAGGGGTCCTTTCTTTGGGCAATTTATTGATGCGATAAATTAACAAAACTTCACATTTGTTTCGAAAATTACAATTTGCGATTTTTTGTATTTCAATCTAATAAACGGATGACAAGATTGTTTCTGCCTTAATCAACAACACACTATCAAACGAATCAAATCTATTGCATATTTTGCATTTTAATCAAGGAAAATAATGACCTTACACAGGTCATTATTTTATGCCTTGAAGCAAATTTCATTGAAACTTTGTATTGTCCGGTGTATTCTTCAAAAGAACGACATATCGTTCTGAAAGAAAATAACTTCAGGTAGGTATACGAAGTACAAATATTAGGCCGAAGATATACGAAACTGTTACAAATATCAAAAACTTCTATATTAAAATTTAAAACCACAAAGAACAATACTTAAAACTTTGGCAAGAGCAAAACAAACCCCTTTTAAACAAAACTGGGTTTGATCTCAGGTGCTCCAGTAGAGTAAACAGATCATACTCCAAATATATATACCTTTGAATATTCAACGTGGTCAGATACACAAAAACACATAAATATTTTTAAAAGCATAGTGATGACATTTTCACATTTAATGATAATAACTTTATTAAACCAACACAACGAAGCAACAATAAGGACGGTTGCGATCTCATAACATAGATACATCATCAGATCGTGATACTAATAACATAAATACATCATCAGATCGTGATAGAATCAAAACATTTGGAAGCCATATCAAATAAGTGTAAGAGCATTGCAAAATCATCATACTGGACTGATGACACGCTCGCGGACGAAACATCATGGACACTGGATTGTAAAAACTCATCAATAACACATTGATTATAGTTTTATACGAAAAATTACGTTTTGTCAACACAAGACTGATCAATGGGGCGTCAATCAAAACAATTGGAACTTCGTTTTGATTGAAAATCGAAAGTTTAAACATAAATCTTATTCAGTTAAACAATTATAACAAAAACTTTCAGATATTGATGAAAATCTATTACGATTTTTTTGGATTCAAACTATACTTTTACAATTTTAAAAGAACAAAGTACAAGCAGTTTACAGATATACACGAATATAAAACACCCTCTGTCTCGTTCTGTCTATGATGTCCAGAAATGGAGCTATATTGTCATATATTAAGATGATGTACCAATGCTTTATTTGCTGTTGTTTTCCCATCTGTAGTTACATTGTATATAATAGGCACTAAAGTATGGAGATACGGCATGATTGCCAATGGGACAACTTTATGTTAGAGTCAAACTGAAGTGGATTAAGGCATCTCTAGGTCACTGTAGTTGTTGTGTTATTGAATGTGATTAACTGTGCTAGTGTGTGTGTTATGTTTTGATTGCAACATTGATCATTCTGCAGTATTATTCTGCCAAATAGGGCAACCGAGATACAGTGAAGACTTCGTTTTACCAGTTTTTTCGAATGAAATAACATATTTTTAAACTGGTGAATTAAATGATTATCAATGTATATATTGGTGAATGTCAACAACATAGTCAATATTACACATGCAGTTATAAAAACTAGAAATACATAGTACCTTTACAGAATTCTTCATCTTCGTCAGAATCATCATAACAGTCGATATGGATATCGCATAATGACGATTTACTAATACACTCGATGTTATCTCTACATTTTACTTGATGATCAAGGCACTTGTAATCTTAAATTAAAAAATCTATAATAAAGATAATGTAAACTTTATTTCTAAAGTGCATGTAAATACCCAAGTACTTATCGTCTATGTAACTGAATATGGCGAACCTCTTTATAGGATTTATCATAAATCTTTTTTTTTCCAAATGTAAGGTGAAACCAATCCATTACAGGAGTTATAGAAATGTAACTTTCCTTTTTTTTACCTTATTTTAGGATTGTCATGATCTATTCAGAAGGAGACCATATGTGTATTAATTACTCTGAGTTCAAATAATATTACGAAACTAACTAATTTTATACATGATTCCTTACTTATAGCTGTTGGAAAACATACTGGTGATAAACATGCTGATTTAAAGTGTATATCTAGCTATAAATCCAGGTTTAATCGACTATTTTCTACATAAGGAGGTGCCTGTACCAACATGACCAAGTCAGGAATATGACAGTTGTTTTCAATTGGTTCAATGTGTTTAAACTTTTGATTTTGCCATTTAATAGGAGACTTCCTGTTTAAATATTTTCTTGGAGTTCGGAATTTTGTTATTTTACTTTATACATGTAATTGACAAAGGCATCTTTATCATATTCATTGTTTATACTAGTATCTATATAGAATGTAATTACTTTAAACAAGCGATTTATTTACGCGACTTTCACGTGAAGAAAAATAGGTCCAAATTCAATCGTCACGAATATGTGAATTTAGATCTTCTCCTAAATGAATACTCCAACTAAGTTAGAAAATCGGGGAAAATAATTTGCCGCTAAAAATATTGACTAAAGCGGGTAAACACGAAAAAAGTTCTTCGATTTATTCGCATAAATGTTAACATCGGAATACATGTAAGGTCCGTTTGAATTAGCTAAGTGACATAACTTCATGAAATGATATAACAAACCAAATTCTACGTGTATTTTGTAATAGGGAGCCCTATGGTACAATAGGGAATGGTGTTTAGTGCAATAAGAAATGGCATTTGGTACTAAAGGGAATGGAGTATAGTGCAATTGCGGAATAGTGCATCGGGTTTCCGTAAACACATACGTTATTTGTTTTTGAAAAAAAGATTCCACGTATTTAAGTAGGTAGTCTGTACGGATAAAGGTTCTTATTTGTTATATAAAAATTATATTTTTAATATCTCATTATGTATGTTATGGTCTGAATATCAACATATTATGATAATACGTATATGCAATTAGGCTGAATTATATAACCTACTCATAACATACTAGAAAATGTTTGTGTGATTCAAAATGTTGAATTGATACTAAAACCGGAATATTGATTGAAAAAAATCTTTGAGGCTTCCAATCGTAGAAAATTGGTTTCCCAAAAATTTCAAGATTCTAATGTGGCATTTTGAGTGGATATATCATGCAGACAATAAACAGTTATGACACAGAATCAAAATCTGGCTGTCAGGGCTTTTAATTTTTTAATGTATGGATAACCTAGATTTTGACCGAAATTACGTTTTCAATTGAATTATTGAGCTAGCAACATAAGAATGGTTTTTAAAAGAAATGATTTGTTTAATAAACATGTAATACTTGTTATCGCAACAAACGTAGAAGGGTGTAATATTATGTATTAAATAAAAATGTAAGATTACAATTACAGGTTTATATACATCATGTTCATAACAAAATGCGTGCGAATTTATTTTAGGTATATATTTGCAATAGATGTTTTGAAACTCTTAAAATTCATAAGTTTTAGCGTTCATATGATTACTAAGAAACGACATTGACATAACATGTCGAAATGGAAAGATTTAACTGTTCGATGGAAATAGAATAGTACAGTGTAAAATACAGTGCATATTTTCAGTTTTCACTCAGGCCAAGGACATACCATCATTTCTTAAGAATTTTTCGTCAGTCAAAAATGAATTAGTAACATTGGTACATCTTATTCATAATACATTTTTCAGTTTATCACTGAGTTCGTATTGAAGCAAAGTTCAATTTCTAATTATTAAAGTTTCAGAATATTTTATAACAGATTTTCTATTATATTTTTTAAATTGTAATACATTCTACATGTTCTAGTTAACATAATGTTTCGTACCACGGCAGATGTCCGCTGTTTCATCAGATCCATCTTTGCATGCCACCCTTCCATTACACAGATCAATTTCGTTTATACATTGAAAACCATCGCGGCATTTGACCATTCCATCAACACAGTTATAGGCTAAAAAAAATAATCCTCATCGATATTGCAACACGAACGCTTTTGTCAGGAAAATATAATATACAACACAACTCAATTGAAATAGACAATAAATGTTTAGTGCCTTTAAATATCAGCTGTATTTGTACGAGTCTATGAAACAGGAAAAATGCACTAGTATGCCAGACGTCAAAGATAAAAAATTGCTTATCGACACAAATGTGTGGTGGACAGTGTATTAAATTAGAAGCAAAAGTAGTTTACCTATGTTATTATATCATACATTCATTACGAATATACAAGGCAAAAAGGGAGCGAGACCGGTTGCGTTGATAGGTAATCATCTCCTACCATGGATGAATCAGCCGCCATACGAATAAAACGTCACAACTAGGAATAGGACACAATAGGTGAATTTACAGATGGTACGACTATTCTGGTAGATCTAAGGTTTCGAAAACATATCGCTAGTGAGTTGAGATACAGTCACATCGTTTCGGTCAACCAATTTATGATGGTCATCATAACTTGTATGTTCAGTCGATTTCAATCGCTTTTATGCATAACTCTGTTGCAGCAGTTTTTGTGTCATAGCCACACCTCTAATAAAGTTCTTATAGTATGAATATGTTCGAGCGATGTATTAATTAAGATATGTAAATGACATGAGGTGCGGCAGAGGGTATGTATGAAATATTGAAAAAGAGAGTTGCCAATTGGAAAGTTTGTAATATATCTCAGTATGAGTTCGTACATCTGTGGCAGTTCAAATCAAATTGGACGTTTATCCATTGTGTCCTCCTTGTAAAATATTGCTGTGATGTCTTTTCAAAATAGTAATTTAGTGTATTATCAATGAGCTTAGATAACCACCTAATTATCTTGAGTAGGTCATTAGAAAAATGCATTAATTACAAGTATACACGCAGAAGGTTGAAATAATAAAAAAATATAAAACAATCGTAAGCACTTTTTGTATTCAGTTCTTATTTCCATTAATTTATGAATCAAAAGTTATAGTTTATTCACAACATAAAGCATAGTGGAAACTAGACTGACGTCAATTGTTCCAAACTTGTTTGCTTTCGATTTGTAAACTTTTACAGCCTACGAGTTAAAGTTAACGTGACTTTTTGATATAAACAAAACAAGACGAAGTACAATTGGAACATAATCCAGTTGAAGCATATTTAAGCAAATTTAGGAACGGTCGCCAATGATTAGAAACCCCCATTCAAAATGTGTAACAATTTAACGAAATAATCAACGGCCTGATTTATAACTTGGTACAAGCACATAAAGATTATAGCTGGGTTAAACATAATTTATATGTGCTCAAACCTCCCACTAGTATGAGATAATGGCATAAATATACTTATACATAACAAGCACACGACTGAAAATGCAAAACACACATCCTTGTGCTGTATGACAATATTGGTACACTTTCGTATCCGTCGTGTCGTATTCCAAATGATTAGGTTTGATTGCACTGTGTGTACTGTATACAAATACCTTTCCTATTGTAAGTCTGAAAACTTTGACACCATTAACGATGAAAGTGACATTATCATAGTTTTGTGACATTATATGCACACATAAACAATTGTTTTCTATGTTCTGGTGATATCAAATTCCAGGTAAAAATTACACTGATTTTGAAAAATTGATTTGTAACCACCGGGATGTAACCGTGGGTAGTATTGTAGTAGTAGGCATAGCATTAAAGTACCTTTACATAGTAATGGATCTTCGTCAGAGTCATCGTAGCAGTCGATATACCCGTTACAAACATGGTGCTCCTCTATACACGTAAAATTGTCTGCACACTTTATCTTACCCGGATCGCAAGTTCTAGCTGCAAAACATAACTGTGTCTGTGACATTATCAAACAATATGTATAAACATCTGAAAACAATCCTTTAGAATTTGTCATTACTTACAATGTATTATTGGAGATTCAAACTCACGGACTGTTGAAAGCCCAGACTATATACATATAAACAATGAATCACCATTGATTTACAATTTTGGAGCTTGTACTTTATAACTCAAACATTTCTCACATTTTAATTCAGACTTAATATAATAACTCCAACTAAAGTAAATTTTATATATCTTATGAATAAAGGCAACAGTAGTATACCGCTGTTCAATAGTTATAATCGATTAAGCAAAAACAAATCCGGGTCACAAACTAAAACCGAGGGAAACACATCAACTATAAGAGGAAAAAAACGGAACAAAAGAAACACTGACCGACAACAAAAGCAAACGCCAACATACATAGAAACGGACAGTAGATAACAACTGTTATAATCCTGACTTGGTACAGGACATTTTAAGAAAAAAATAGTTGGTTGAACCTGGTTTTATGGCTAGTTAAACCTGCCGCTGATATGGCAATGCTAAAAATACCACTAAAATGGAAACACTACGTGACAGAAATACAGTACAAACAAACGGAAGAACACTCAGCACAGAGACATACATAAGATACATTTGATTTGAAATGTTTTTTTCTAATATGAGTAGAACTGAATCAATTTAATAGTCTTATAATTCAAGTAAATGAAATGTTAAAACATACCTAACATTTAAGCACGATGGGTTTGAATTGGTTGATAGATGGATTTTGATTTACTTAATTTCAAGTGACCAAATAAGATAAACAGAGGTACTTTTTTAAGAAAGCATCAAATTTCTTTTAATACATCAAGGCATAACACTGCACAGGAACTATCTATTGGACTAAAGTCTATTCACTTGTTAAATGTGTATAAACAGAGACAATTAAAGGTTGCCATTAACACAAAATCTACTTTATAACAATAAAAACAGCAACTAATAAAAACTACCCCACAAACCAATCAATGCTTTTACATATGGATAAAGACAACCATTGACAAGGTTCCTGATTTGTATATGCATAAGAACACGAGGCACTATTCTAATTCTCTTCCATCCTTTTTGAATCTTGATATGCTGAATTGCAGACACAAAAATGATGAAAAATCAAACTCTCAAAATATCGAAAATAAACTATTACAATAAAGGCACTTATATATGTATATATTGCTGATAGTTTAAAGTGTATTTTCTTAATGACTTCATTTGATACCAGTTCAATAAATAAAATACACAAAAGTACAAGCACACAAATAATAAACATAACGGGACAAAAATTAATCGAAGTTACTGAAAACATTCTCAACTGCTGATATGAAATCATACTATCATATTGCTATGTTATTTAAGGAATGACTGTAATATTTTAGAGCGAAGCGGGTTATTTAAAAGTGTGCACCACAATTTTGAGGTTATTTTGAATAGACAGAAAAAAATATTACAGTCTTCCTTATAATTTAATTCTAAATTCCATTTTTAAGGAGTAAATCATTAAAAAAAACGTTGATGACGTCACGGTCACATGCCAAAAGTATGTCTATGAGCTGATAGACAAAAGCTTTAGGCCAATCAGAAGACGTGATACATCAAAAATTAAATCATTGTGGTTTAAAATATGTATTCAAAACGGCAAAGGAACTGTATATGATATTTTATTTGGCTAAATGATGTGAACATGCACATGCGATTATAAATTCCAACTTAAAAAAAATAATTCAGTAGAATTGGTCATGATTTTTCATATTTTTACAATCTTACGTTTTTTTCAGCTTTAATCGTACGAAATATATTATTATAAAGTGGTTTATGTGTCATTCTGTTAGAATTTTCCAAAACGATCTTTAATTATGTTTGGTTTGCTCACTCAAATTTGTCAAAACGACGGAACCATTTAAATTGTCATACAAGTTGGAGGTTTAGCTAGCCATAAAAACGGATTTAACCCACTATTGTCTTCGGAAAATTCGTGTCAGGAAATATGACAGTTGTTTTTCATTCGTTCCATTGGTTCGATTTTGTCAGTTTTTATGGTGTACTTCCCCAGTCCCTCTTTCTGAATTTGCATCAATTGGTAATTTTGTGAAATTCTTTTCTTTATTGATATCTCATCATGCTCATAGTATTATATGTAAATTACTCCTTTGAATGAGAACATAGTTTCTAACCCCCATAAAACATTCGTAATACTACATTTGTTTACAGATACAAAAACAAAATCATTACTAAAATGCCTTTATTACAATACATTTCTATTTTGTTTCTTTATCAGTTTAAGTGTAGTAATTTATAAGAGATTCTGTATCCTGCATATAATAACTACGTAGTGTATTAGTATGGCATGATGAACGGATAGGCCCAAATATTAGTGCAAATTAAAAAGTTACCAAACATATTCATTAATTTTTCCAAAATAAACTAAGGTTCAAGGTGTTCAGAAAAATAAAAAAAATAAAAAAAATAATTTCACATCTAACAATTTAATATGGCAACAAATTTGACAAGATATGTATAGTTTGTGCAATTTCATGATTTTCCTTGTTTTCACCAACCTTTAGGTATATATTAGATTGGAAACGTAAGTGCGGTTCCAAGAAACAACTTTATATTCGGTTAGAATATTTTAACATTTATAATAAAGCATCTCTTAAAATTATTTTGTTGTTTCTTGCCTGCTCACGATGTTTCAACAAAGAAAATGATGAAGGAAAACTGCATACACTTAGCAATGTTCTTTATGTTCATGACATTTGTGCATATTAGAGCGTAATTGTGACATAATAATCTTATTTCATTCATTTATACTTTTTGAATTTATGCGTTTCCAATTATTATTTGCAAATTTGAAATAGTTCTCAAAAACTTTATTTTCGTGGCCTAAATGCTCCTACTCCTTTGCAGTAATCATATCAGATGTTGAGTCAATAAACAAAGGCTACAATGAAAAAACAGCGATAACGATCGTTTAATTCAAAGTCTAAATGTGCCATCCCCTTAAATAAGATACCCGTACATTTTTTACGTTAAATCAAGGCTCTAGTAGTTTATATATGTTCAAACCTCGTAGATCCATAAGCTAAGGCAGTTACAAATCAAGGTCACAAAATCAAAGCCGACGGAATTGCATCAACTCGTCCAATTATTGTTGCGTCGACAGGGTACGCGTCTCCTGCTACGCATGCATCACGCGCTCTGCGAATTCACACTCAGTCAAAATTTACTTTACAGACTAGACAACTTAGAGAAACTTTAATGCTGACGCGATCGTAAAAGTTAAAGCATGTGTACTTATTACAGGTACTTTAAGGCGGACGCGATCGTGATAGTTAAAGCATGTGTTCTTATTACAGGTACTTTTAGGCGGATGTGATCGTTAAAGTTAAAGCATGTGTACTTATTACGGTTACTTTAAGGCGGATGTGATCGTGAAAGTTAAAATATGTGTACTTATTACAGGTACTTAATGGCGGACGCGATCATGAAAGTTAAAGCATGTGTACTTATTGCAGGTACTTTAAGACGGACGCGATCGAGAAAGTTTAAGCATGTGTACTTAGTATAGGTACTTTAAAGTGGACGCGATCGTGAAAGTTAAAGCATGTGTACTGATTACAGGTACATTAAGGCGGACATAATCGTGAAAGTTAAAGCATGTGTACTTTTTACAGGTACTTTAAGGCGGACGCGATCGTGATAGTTAGAGCATGTTTACTTATAATGTACTTGACGGCGGAAGCGATCGTGAAAGTTAAAGCATGTTTACTTATTACAAGTACCTTAATGCCGACGCGATCGTGAAATTTAGAGCTTGTTTACTTATAATATTTGCTCATGTTTTGTAGTTGTCGCAGGGTAAATGTTGTGCAAATGAAGTTAACGTTTGGGTTAATTTTACATGTTTTATGTGGTTTGCAATCATTTTATATTTGGTACTGTTTTACCTTTACACATATCTTCATCTTCATCAGACTTGTCCTTGCAATATGTGCGTTTGTCACACAGATGAGATTTATGTATACACTCTATGCCATCACTACATTTAACCATGTTTCCTTCACACGTTCTGTCTGCAAAGTAAAAAAACAAAGTATTTGGGTATTATGTGGAAAGTTGGCGAGCGGCAATCATACACACCTCCTTTATTTTTATAGTGTTTTGAAATCTAAAATATTTAATCTTAATCAAGTTTTATACCTGATAATTTTAATTAAACACAACTATATTTGTTCCTCTTCATTTGTCGAAATACTTATTATATCTAATTATTAATGCGATTAAAGGAAAGGTTAAAAAGAAACGTGTTTGCCCTTGAATTAGAAATTACAAAATAAAATATATATAACAAATACAATTATTTTAATGATCACAAGTCATCATTATTTGTAGATACCAGACATCATACTCTTGTAATTGTTCTACATTTTAGCCTGAATCCCTTATTTTTCTTGCATGTGACCTTTCCATTCATATAATAAAGAGAGCATTATGCTTACAAAAATAACTAATCCAGTTTTGTTTACAAAGTTTATTTTGGTAAATAAAATATCTTTTTTTGGTAGGACTGTTTCTTGTAATATTTTGTACCAAAGACTATTGTTTGCATTTAAGTCGAATATTTCCATTTTGGCTGGTTTGAACGTCACATTGACATCATGTCTGACCTTTCTAGTCTAATTCACTATTATCACATATATTTAATAATAAAATAAGTGTACCTTTGAGAGGATTGAAATATTTAACAATTTTAGCATTTCATATTGTTCTCATTATATGACGGTCTGGTTGGGGGTTTACAGAATAGTGAATAATTGGCAAAATAATAAAGAATAGAGAATAATGAACAAAAAAACATTATGAATAGAAAAAATTGGTCTAAAAATATAAAGAATACAGAAATGAAGGGAACCCCAATCTAGACCCTCTTATATCTCCTCTTTTTGATTGCAGAGCTGTAAATAAAAATAAACACTTTATCAATTTCGTGCGTCCGAAGCGCTTTCCTAGATTTACCTTCATCGTAAACACTCAAACCGAAACACTTGAAAGCCAGGTATGCGTAAATACGTTTCAACGTAAGTATGTATATGACCAAAATGGACCAAAGACAAAAAAGTCTATTTCATTTATGGTCAAAATTTGCCTGAGAAAGTGAACTAACCAATATTTTAATGATGAATTATACATAATACGTGCATGCGTTTTAACGTGTTCTTTAAATCACCGTTGTGCTATCCATTGATATAATCGCTACAAGTTGTTACATGTATACAGATTCAAGTAAATAAATGTTTCCTTTCAACAAACCTTTACACATTTCTGGCTCCTCGTCAGAACCATCTGAACAGTCTGGGTATCCATTACAAAAGACGTTATTGTGAATACATTGTGCACCGTCTTCACACTTCATATAGTTCTCCATACAAGAATAAGCTAAAACAATATATCTTGTTCATATACTTTATTCATACACATTTAAAAAAAAAAAAAATTCAGATTTTTCATTACTTAGATTGTGGACAACATTTAGTTTATGACGTAGTTCGGTAATGATGTCAACATAACGATAAAGATCATTTCAAAAGTTACAATACGCGACAATAACGATTATTTATTTATAGCTTTGCAATTGAATTTCAAATATAGTAACATTAGATTTATTAAGGGAAATACAAGAAAAACATGGATCATCATAACACAAATACAGCAGCAAAACATTAACAGTAAAATTAAATCGTACAAGTTTTCTTATCTTTCGCCAGATATTTTTCTGAGATAAAACTATTTCATGAATTGGAAAAAGTATCAAAAAATGAATACACAAACACAATTGTGCTGCACTATAAAAACTTACAAAATATACAAAGTTTACAATTAATACACTATGTCCAATGGACGCGCTTTTTGACTCATACTAAGACACACCAGTGCCGCTTAAGGTTAAGCGATTATTTAGTTAAAGAGCATTGAGAACCAAATTTTCAAAACGTTCTGCCAAATATTGTTAAGGCTACATGTATATATGCCTTGGAGAAGAAAACACTATGTAGTTAAAATAATTTAACATGTACATGTATTATTATTGTTAAACAGTAAATTTACAGAAAATGAACGTACTACATGTACTACTTATATTTAATGTTAAACGGTGGTACGGACTACTGGGCTAGTGGTTTAAAGGAAGATAAAACATCCATTAGTAGTGACATCGACATAGTGGTTTTATAAGCTCATTAAATATAGCCGGATCTGTTTGGTGTTCCAGACGCGCATTTTGTCCACGACACATCAGTGGCGCTCGAATCAAAAGAACCGGAAGGTAATATATGGAAATATGTTGTAAAAACTGTCAAATCTTTAGATAACTGTATTGAACAATCTCAACACTATGGTAAATAATACAAGAAATACTAGAAATACATTGTACCTTTACAGAATTCCTCATCTTCATCAGATTTGTCTGTACAGCCCATAACTCCATTACATACGAAAGATTCATGAATACATTCGATGTTATCTCTACATTTCAACTGACCGCTTGGACACTTTCTATCTAAAATTCACATAATAAAAACTTCAAAAGTGCATGTGAATAATCAGATTAATAATTGTCTATGTAACTGATTATTGCAAAGTTAACCAAAGTGTTGATTATGAATAATTCATTTTCCAATTGCTTAATAAAACTGGTCCATAACAGGTGCGGTCAATACTATGATCAACTTACTTTCGCGCCTTTTGCAAGTAAAGGATAACGCGAATATAATCGTCGCAAAGATGACAAACTTTGAATTTGTCCAATATGTAAACGCAGTCTAAAAATGAAAAATAGAAATAGAATGCAGATTAATGTCCTAAAATGGGATAAACGCGAAAAAGCCAAATTTCGTGAAAATAACTGGGTTCCGAAATGCGCCTCTGCAATACGAAATTATAATTTTGTTTTATTTTACAACTACTAGGTCTAGGCAACTGCTAGGTAACCGTTTGTTCCAGAGAGTATCAGCAGACCAATTGCCTGCAATTGTATGCTGTTTTAAAGATCAGGGAAACGGCTATTACTGCAAGTTTACTGTTCATGAAATGTCGAAAATAAAAAGTTTTTCTATCCCATATTAAGATGGCACCGGAGGCACAATTTGTAATTCTTTTTTTTAATTTTTAATGCTCTACAATTTTGTAATTTATTCGGTTATCGAACGGTTTTGATTTGATTGCCGGTAAAGATTCTGATGTAGACGAAACTCAAGTCTGTCGTAACAAATCATAGGACTGGTATTTCTGATAGTTTTCGAGCAACATATAAGTAAGTGGCAATACACATGATACAGTACTTTTGTTTTTTTTTTCACGTCTGGAATTCTAATATAGAAGTCAAATAACGTAACCTATGATGATAGGTCGCAATTGTCTGTGATGAGTTTTATCAGTTATATCTTCTTTTTCCTCATTTAAATTCTAATAAAAAGAGTTCTTGCTGAAAAAATGGCGAAGATAGCAAGGGGGTAATAAAAAAACATAAATCGACGATAAATAAATCATCATTATTTTCATATTTATAATTTAGTACGCCAGATGCTTGTTACTTCTACACCAGACTTATCCGTTTCGCCCGAATCAATACAATGGTGAGGCAAAATCAGATACAATTGAAGTTGAAGAGCATTCATTTTGAACAAAAAAATCCAAAGCTTTGTGTCGAATATGTCTAAGGCAATGCATTGAGAATGTCGTACTACTCTTGTGGCACCTATTTAGCTACTCCTTTGCAATTACGTTGAACTTGGTAAATTTTCCAGCTAACAACCGGTAACTATTAAAACAAGTTTGAAATGAAAAGGGTTTTCCCAGTTAAAAAAAGTGTTACCGGGGAAACAACACAGATTATGACACAAATATAAAACACTGATTACTGTAAACATTGTTGTTTTCTTTCTGTCGTTTTACAATTTTCTAATATTCATTCAATAATCCTATATTATCATTATGTTTTGTTATGTTTCTTTCTACATAAGGAAATGCCTGCACCAAGTCAGGAATCTGAGAGTTGTTTTCCATTCGTTTGATGTGTTTGAGCTCTTAATTTTGCCATTTGATAAGGAACTTTCCGTTTTGAATTTTCCTTGGAGTTCGGTATTTTTGTTATTTCATTTTTATTATTTTTGTGCGTCTTTAGGTTATTTATGACATGTTTGATGACATGGGGAAACTTAAATAGGTGACAAAATGGAAAATTATGACGTAATGCGCTAAAAAAAGAATTCACTTTGAAGTATATATATGTTTTGTTTTGTTATCCTTCCCTTGTTTTCAGAGCAATCAAATGTATTGAAACCAAATCCTGTTATTATTCATTATGCTTTTTTAGATTTGTATTTAGAATTAGATACATTGTGTACCTCTACAGAAATCCGGTGATTCATCAGATTTGTCGTTACAATTCAAAAAATCATCACACAGATCCCCTTCATTAATACATTGGATTCCATCCTGGCATTTGACTCTCCCTGGACCACAGTCATAACCTTAATAATAATCAATGATCAGTCGGACGACAATCATTTCAAAGGCTGATAATTTTATGATAGTATATCATTATATGTTTAATTGAATCCCCTTAAACAGTCTAACCCAAGATATTAATCAAGCGATCACGTATGTAACAAAGATATAACGTTTTAAATTTACAAATGACTTTCCATTATTTTTTATTTGATTATTGATTGGAATATAAAATGAGTTGTCTTTATAATTCCTACTGATATGTTGTCCAGAATGATCTAACACAAACCATTTGTTAATTATTTGAAAAGGTTGAAAAATTATCATTGCAATAAATACACAGTCCTTGAATTTTGTACATTGCACGATAAAAAGTGTATAGAAAAAGTAGGAAAAGATTAATGGTGCGATAGATAGATATATAAGGTGAAGTACAAATTACACAAACAAGAATGATGTATGGTGCAGTGGGTATCGTATATCTTTCAAAGAGAAACGTAAAAAAAAATCCCAAAAAATCATTCATTGCGTACAGATAATTGACAATGTTTGTTCTCAAGAATGCTGATGAGGACATATTTGTTTCAACTTTAAATGAAAATCATTATTTATATCCATATTTTTGAATTTAACTACCCCATGGAAATACATAGTATTACTTACTATTGCAGACTTCCGGTGATTCATCAGATCCATCATTACAGTATGCATTTCCATTACATAGCTTATTAGAGTAAATGCATTGTAGACCATCCTGGCATTTGACCTTTCCTTTGCCACAGTCATAACCTATATAATAATCATTTAAAATTTTGACGTGTATAATTTTGTCAGAAACATATCATATTTTTACTTTACAAATGATTTCAATTGTAAGACAATCAATTCAAAGGCTGATATTCTAGTATTTTATTTTTATATTCGTAATGAATCTATAATGAAATGGAAAATCAATTTTAATCAAGGTTTGAAACTTTTTGATGTTTAACATTAAAAAAAAACCAAAATGCATCAGCCAAATGATCTTCTAAACTAAATAATAAAGAACATTCAATCAAGTCATGTAATGCCGTGCAAAAATGTTTGAGGAGATTATCTCAACTGTTCACTGTTTATTCTTGTTTCAAAGTCTTTCTTCCATGTAGAATAGAAAAACAAATGTTATGGGGTGTCCATCCATGACACAAAATCAGCAAAAACACACACAAATCGATATTCTTCTTCAAAGGTATAAGGCTGACCATTTAATACACGAGACGAACGTTTCGACATACGTTAGACATGCCAAATAAATAAAAAAGAACTTTACAAACCATAACTATACACATTGTTCCGAATGTAGCTATGGCAATCTATGTATGGGGTAAACAAACTTAATGTTTTAAATAGTTTTAACATATAATGAACATCAATATACATAAAATTATCCAATCGGTGATATTCATTTCAACACTGGATGGAGCGCTTACTTCTGGGTTGGTGATACCCTCCGGCAGTGACATCCACCCAGAAGTTGTGAAAGCCATCTAATATTTCAGGCTTATTATTTGAAACGTCAAATGCGTTTCAATCAACAATTAACGCTTTCTCTGTATGTTCCATTGTCATCGAAATCTATATTAGAATGTATATATTTTTAAAATGTTTTAACGGATATCTTGATGTATTTGTGTTGTATTGTTTACGAAACATACTGGATTCAACCCCCTGATGCAATTACAAAGTTGAAACGTCTTTTAAGTCAACTTTGGTTCTTAAAAAACATATATACATATATGCGCCTATATATAAGTAAAATTGAGAATGAAAAGGGGGAATATGTCAAAGAGACAACAACCCGATCAAAGAGCCGAAAACAGCCGAAGGTATATTTTGACCAGTTGTAACGAGATACAAGGATCTGTTTTGAAGTCATCCCTTTAAAAAGTTTCGGACGCTACCTTGGTTTGTTTAACCGCTATGTCAAGTATGTGTGTCACGAATGATTACGGTTATAATCCGCATGTTGTAGTTAAAATCCCGTCCTAATTTTCCTTAATGTTACATCACCGAATATATGTTTTTCATAAGCAGCACAATGAGTGACATAATTGTCGCAGGAATATTTTCCCCCTCATTTCTTTTATTTCTATCAAATACCGTCTAGTTTTCCTATTTCCTGCAAATCTCTATTTTTGTTTACAGTCTTTGGCTTACATAATATAGAAGACTGCCACCTAATGAATGTGTTATTACTTAATGATTATATGAGTAACATTTAACGATCCAAGATAGTATGATGCTTATCAAAGGATCTTAGCACAGGATATGTCTCATTTACGTATTTTCACAATATTAAGAGATGAGTGTAACTGGTGAAGCAGAAACAGCTGTTCTCTCCGGCGCTCATGAATTTTCTTTGTGTTATTTATTTTTATATATCTGTCGGTTTTATAGTGTTGTTTACCTTTTTGTCGATAATCGTTTTGACCATAGCATAGCGTTTCCTCCATATTTGATTTTTGATGTATTGAAATGCGTAAACTAAATATTGGGTTGTTACCCTGTTTTAAATTGAATTCCAAACAATGTCTAAAATGAACAATTTAGATATGTTATGGCAATTATGAAAACTACAGTCAAGTCATCATAGTGCAAGGTGATAAATTAAAGTAAATTTACAATCCTACAAGACTTTCATTCAACTTCACTACTATTATACAAATGAAGCTAAACACTTCTATACATATTGTTATTGTTAAGAGTCATTTAAAAGATGGGACGTAGTAATTTATGACTTTTTTAATTGCTAAAAACATGTCAAAGCCTAAACCTTTAAACTAAAATGGCATTTTTCTATGCATGATTTAAATGGATATCTAGAAGGCTTTGTAAAATAAAAGTTAACCCGCTTGTCTGTTTTCAAAACACGTCGTCCAACGTTCAAAAATATTTTGTCAAGAACAATCCACCATTTTGATGTTGTCAGCTTTAATTTTTAAGTTGGCAATAATCAACAGGTGGATAATTTGTCAGCTTCTGGTTTTATATTCATTCAAACATTAATTGGTTACCCCTGTTTTTGTTGTAATTTAGACAACAACAAAACAAAACAAAAACAACATATGTTCCTTTAAACAAACCTTCACAGATTTGCGGTATTTCATCAGACCAATCATAACAGTCTTTGTCACCATCACAAAATGTGCTATTGTGAATACAACGTAAACCATCGTCACACAAAGTCATAGAATTCTGCATACACAAAAAAGCTGCAAACAATAATTGTTATGAAAGACCCCGAAATGACAATTGTAACACAATAGTAGACTGATTTATGTACAAAACAGTAATAAAAGTGATAGGTATAGCTAGCTATTTGACCAGTGTTAAACCACCATTTTCTACATAAAGAAATACCAGTACCAATTCAGGAATATGACAGTTGTTTTCCATTTGTATGATGTGTTTTAGCATCTAATTTTGCTATTTGGTGAAGGAATTTCCGTTTTGAATTTTCCTTGGAGTTCGGTATTTTTGCTATTTTACTTTTTCGATATAACAAAATGCCTCATTAATAGAATAGTTTGATTACATCGGTTTTTAATTTGAAATTTAATTGTTTAATTATTTATAAGAGTTATAGAGATTTAAGTAGGTGATGACGGATTGGACATTCGTTATAACTCTATGAGTTGACACTGAATGTACAGTAATTGGAAACAACAAGGTCGATTACATAACTGGTTGATGGTTTCCTCCCATGGATAACACTAGCCAAGAAGTCAGCACTTATGCACTGACATTTCATTATTTGTCGTGCGATACCAATTATCGTAGATTTCGTTGGTGCAGGTGTACCAAGAATTTAAATCGTCAATCATTTACAAATTTTATTAAGGCTTGTTTGAAAACCATAAAATCAAATTCCCACAAACATGTCAGTTTTCCTTAGTCCACGAAAATTGGTACCAACGAAAATGAATGAATACTTTGTACAATCATTTTTTTAAATTTAATGAAAGCTTTGTGAAAAACATTGTGCCCCTAGGCCCAAATCGGCTTACAGTGTCCTTTGAAATGTTGCAATGCAGTTAACTATTCACTATTTCTATTAAATTGTCTCACAAAACCCAATTTGCTTGTAAAAGAGAGGCCAAAGATATCGTAGGGATATTCAAACTCATAAGTCGAAAATAAACTGACAACGCCATGGCTAAAAAAGAAAAAGACAAACAGACAAACAATATAGAAATAAGAAGATGTGGTATGATTGCCAATGAGACAACTCTCCACAAGAGACCAAATGACACAGAAATTAACAACCATAGGTCATCGTACGGCCTTCAACAATGAGCAAAGTTCATACCACATAGTCAGCTGTAAAAGGCCCCAAAACGTCAAATTTAAAACAATTAAAAAAAATAACGGCCTAATTAATTTTATGAACGAAAAACAAATATGTTACACAGAAACAAACGACAACCACTGAATTACATGCTCCTGACTTGGGACAGGCACATACAGAATGTGGCGCGGTTAAACTAGTTTGTTGGCGTAAAACCCTCCCCCTACCCTGGGACAGTGATTTAACAGTACAAACTATAAAAATCAATTGAAAAAGGCTTAACTCATCAGACAAAAACACAGAGTTGACGCGGACGGGTAATTATACATTCACACAACAGGAAGACACTAAGTACAGATCTGAGAGTACTCGCAGTTACTGGCAGCTAGTTCAAAGCCAATAATAACTAATGAAAACACATCTTGCATCTAAGACTTAAATATCAATCAGTACACATCCAACATCCATTGGATTAGTACACAAAGCACAACATAGAAACATAAAGACTGAGCAACACGAACCATTTCGAAAACTATTTACTAGGTATGCACTATTTACTGAAGACAAACTTTTCCCGTTAAATATCATTAACCGGTTAATAGTTTCAAAAACCATTTAATGTGTATAAACTATTAACTTGAAGGAAACAGTTGCCCTTGCGTTTTGAATAATAAAACACGTATTTACTGTGTTACAATAGGAAGTTTATTGTCCTACTATTTACAGGGTATGGACTACCCGTGTCGGAAAAAAATATGTTTGTGGGATAATTAACTTGCTATTGTCCTCATAGCCAGTAAATAATTGTATTATATTGCAATAATGCAAATATAGCTTCACATTATCGAACATCAGGGTTACTAAAATATTTAAAAACAGCTTATCTAGCTTATCTATACAATATTAGGGTTATTGTATATACATATATATGTTTGCATATTATCATTCTTTTTTGTAAATATTATTATCATTTTTGTATGTATTCAGGTTATTCATGATGTAATTGAAAAATTTTCTAAGGTGAGGAAAACGTAAAATTATGACATAATGCATGACAAAAATCATTCACTTTGAAGTTTGCATATGTTTTTCGTCGTTATTCTTCCCTTGTTTTCAGAGAAATCAAATGCTTCTTTTTCTTCCAAAACCATTTTAAGATTTCATCATATAGACGTTTGTCCTGATAAATCTGCTTCATAATATACTATTGTATAAGGTGTATGATGAACGTTCTTGGATTGGTAAGATAAATGCATATCACTTTTCCAGATTCCTTTAAAATATAGAAAATCCAAGTTTTCGCTTCAATGCGAAAACCGTTTATCATTTATTATATTTTAGATTGCAGTTTACTTTAGAATTGCATAAATGTCGTACCTACACAGAAATCTGGAGATTCATCAGATTCGTCATTGCAGTCTAAGTAACCATCGCATAGATTTTCTTTATGAATACACTGATTACCATCCTGACATTTGACTCTCCCCTCGTCACAGTCATAACCTTAATAATAATCAATAATAATTTTGACGTGTACATTTTTGTCAGATACATATAATATTCTAAAACTACAAATGATTTGAATTGTAAGACAAGCAATTCAAATGCTCATATTATTTTATGATCATATTCTTAATTGAATCCCTTTATACAGTCAAAACTAAGACATTTACCATACGTACACTTTTGTAAAAAAGGTATAACGTTTAAAATTTTTAAAAAATCACTTTTTATTATTTTGTATTTGATTTTTGACTGGAATATAAAATGACCTAGTGATATGTTGGTCTGAATGATCTAACACAAACCATATGTTAATTATTTGAAAAGGTTAAAAGTTTATTATTACAATAAATACACTCCTTGAATTTTGTACATTGCACAATAAAAAGTGTATAGAAAACATAGACTTAATATGTAATATAAATTGACACTTACAGTAAATTGATTATAGTAGCAACTCAGAACGGCCTTGTCGACATAATCTCTTGATATTTCTTATAAACAGTTACGTTCGGTCACAAAATTTTAAATTCTACCTCCGAAGGATTTGTTTGGGAAACGTCATAGTTTAAACCTTCAATAATTATTGGTTATAAGCTGACCACGGTATTTAAAAGATATGGAACCCCAGCCATAACTGTGAAAAGGTTAATTGTTCTCTAATGCACGATTCGATCTCTCAACCTTCCCAAATTGTGTAACTTTTTGGATCTTTTTCATATTCAGAATTGATAAACGAACACTAAAATTCTACCTCGTGACATAAAACATTTTGCTACTTCACAAAAGAGATCCCAAACTTTCTTGTAATACTTGTTTAACTTCCAACATTCTGTTATCCTGCCATGGACATCAATCCAATTGTTTATATTACAAGTTTTGGATTTATGAAAATTTTGATAATATTTAACGAACCTCAAAAAAAAAAAACATTTTCATCTTCCCTAATGTAACACTTTTATCAACATTTACAAAGCTCTAATTTGTCCAAACAGGCAGAACCTGTGGAATCTTTAAAATTATCTGTACACATCAACAACATACTGACTTGTCTGAAAAGCTATTGAACAACACTAAATTGACTTCAAGCAAATTTTCTGAGCAATACTGAATATACCGCATTACATACGTCAGGACATTTGACTGAACGACTGAACATGACTTAATAGTTTATTGTTCAGACTCTTTAGATGTAGATGATATCAAGATCAAAGCGACCGTTTAAGACTACGATTCATTTACTAGTGATGTTTCTTTAGTTGCTGTATGGATTTATATGAGTTTCGGTCACCGATATATATGTAAGAGCAAACGCCGTTATGATTTCTTATAGGCAAGTATATACTAGACGTCAACGAACATTGTTTGAAACAATTCACATTGTAGTTACCATGGTTTTGATTACACTATACATGTTGTTTTAATCAGGTAACTTTTTCAGTTTTATGTTATGAGCCTACTTGAATGTTTTGTCTAAATAACATTTTGTTAATACACCGATTAAGAATAAATGTACATGCACGTCAACGATTTAGAGCTTGGCATATTGCAAGAAACATGTCATGAGGATAGCATAAGAAATAAAATAAAGATACCGTATATCGGGTTTTTTTTCGCGTGTGTTTAATTTTCGCTTTGATCGCGGCACCTACAGAAACGTGAACATTTAACCCCGTGTAAATTGCTCTGCCTTGTCCTAGATTTATAGCTGACAAAAAAACTCTTAAAAATCGAGTTATCACAACTTGATATGTAAACTCTTTTCCCCCTGAAGGTGAAATTACATTATATATAAAATCAGTCTTTTGTGTTGATCAGTAGATCACAAAATTGTGCATAATTAATTAAGATCTCTGTTTTCATAATAATTATCAAACATGTCATACCTTTCGACACCACGGCAGTCACTGAAATGTTCAAAAATTTTAATTAGCGACGTCTATTTATTGTTATCATAACCCAAACATTTTGCATACAATGTAAAAATGATCAAAAATAAAATTAAAATAAATCACATTTGAACGGATATTTGCACAAATATGCTTTCAAAAGCATCTTTTACACGAGCATAAAAACGATCAAAACCTTCAATTTTTATCATGCAGCAATGAACCTAATTTAAACAGTTATTGAAAGATCGTTTATTTGTTATCGATTATTTGTCAGTCAATCATGTTTATGTTGTTTACATCTTGTTCAATACAATACAGTGTTTTTTTTCGCGTGTATTTTCCCATTTAGCGAAAATTATACACAGTGACAATTTAACCTGCCCATTTTGTCAACAAATTGCAAAAAAAAAAAAGCCGACGCGAAAAAAACCCCCCGATATACGGTATATAATGCTGAAATAAAATACCAATGAATCAAATATTGATAAGGTAAAAAGAGAATTAAAATTCCAATAACAATACTATACCACGTGAACTAGTAATTGCAGTTAACATAATGAGAACTGCGACAGCAGAAGAACGATCCATTGTACTGTAAAATATAATTTTTAATGTTATGAGATAGTAAAATGATACGCATTGTTCACAAATAACAATTTCGTAAATACAATATTTTACGTCTGTTTTAAGGCATACACTCACCGCCGTATTCAACTCAGGCCGTATTTAATTACCACAGTCAACCCTTTGGTTTAAGGCATACACTCACCGACGGATGGGATATTCAACTGTGGCAATATTTAATTACCCCAGTCAACCCTTTGGTAAGCTCCTTTATCATAACCTTTGTAGAACATTTGAAAATGTTTTAAATTACTCGTAATTATATCATGTATATGTTATCAAATCTTCAAAAAAAAATAGTTTAAAAGTCACAATGTAATACTATATAAATTGAATATCAAATAAGAAGATAGTTTGCAGTATTTAACATGTTTAATATAATTACAATAGATGAGCCTCTTAATAAAATTTGCTTATTTGTGTCCCAGCCAAGCATCTCGCGGTATATGCTCTATTTGGACATTTGTTGGGGTTGGAATATCATTTTTTATCCAATTTAAATGTTTGTTTTAAGCTAATTTTAGAATCCTATTACATATATTTTAATGACAGCTGCAAAAGGTTACCTAAGGTACGATAAACTATCTGTCCAAGTAAAACCATTTATCGCTGTTTCATAAAATTGCCATAGTATGTTCCAGTTTACACATATATGTAATAAAATCTTTCAACTGTTTTACTTGCTATATATTGAAGAATTATTTTCCGCTATTTGATCTGTAATTTGGCAGCATGAAATTATTAGTAAGAACTATTGGCCGTACCTCGAGAATATGTCTACTTACATAACGCTGTAGGATTTTGTTAATAAAATAATCACAGAATTGATTAGATATATGTCACAGTGGTAACTTACAAAAACTTTTTCAACCTGGTATCGAAGGCGTCGATAGAAGAAGTGTAGAAATATAAAAAAAAAAAAAGATAATCATAAATACCAGATTTATATTTTGTACGGCAGACATGCGTGTCGACCAAACAAGACTAACTGAGAAAACGTTTTCAATTGAATTTTTAAATGACTGGAGTGATGGTGATTTGGCAAGACATCCACTCGGTAACTTGTTAGATTTACATTTGTATTGTAACTTCAATGTTACACCTAGTAAAACCCACAGTGCCTATGTCAATTAATAAAGTTCCATTGAGTAGTATTATCAGCGAGAATTTCAAGTAAACATATGAATGATTCCATAATGTTTCACATGTAACAGTCCACTATATATATATATGTGGGTTTATTGCTAAAGGGACGGACAACCCTCCATCGGAGACCAAATGACGTAGAGGATTAGCAACTATAGGTCACCGTAAGACCTTCAGCATTGAGCAAAACCCATACCGCATAGCAAGCTATAAAATTTCAGTAAATATCGTTATCTAGTTGCAATGTTGTTATGTACATGATGTAGTTGACAAAATTATCTAATATAAAACTGTACATGTATATGTTCATCATAATGCATTTTTGTTGAAGGCGATTTATTGTATGCTTTATTGCATACTTTTGTTGTATATAACAATATCAGTTCATTTTATTTTGTATTTTAATACCTGTTTTTCAGCTTTGTATTCCCCTACATAACATTAAATCAGCTACGTAACACAGCACTTTGTTTTGTAAACTATTTTCTTTCTATCCTTTTTGCAAAAGTCTAATACAGAAATAGTGTAAATGCAACTGCAATATATTTAAACGTTAATATAGGTAATACAAATATGGAGATTTTTTAATATTTCAAATGTATGAGGTTTTTGAATATTTTTTTTGAACATTTTTGATATGTAAAATAAAGTTTAAAAGCTTTTTCATGTATGTTTAGAGGCTAAAAGTTGATACTTTGCAAAATGTTTCTCTTTCATGTATCATACAAGACAAATTTTAATATTATTACGTAGGGAACATAATAACAAAATAGGTTGATAATTTTGTTTTCGGAACGTCCTTGCGATTTAAAATCATGGTCTTTTTGATTATATTTCACAGATAATTATGGTACCAAGAGATGATATGGTGCAAAACAATTATGTTCCAAGACAATTTATTTTTTTCTGAAATGCATGTTTGATAAAATATGCACATTTTTTTTTAGTGACACAGATAATTGTTTCTATCAAACCCGACAGTTTCCTTATAGATGCAACATTAACTGTTTAAGTTAACATCATGTTTATTACTTAAGTTTTATAAACCAAAATTGAATATCAAATATCATTGTCACGAGTTTAAAATGTCATTTCTAATGTTCGTTCTTATTTACTTATGGAAGTTTAGAATTATTTATCATTTAAAGGCATGCTCGTTTATATAATTATGCAATCGTGTTGCTTTCTGTATGTTCAGTAGAACAGGATAATGAACGGTGAAATAATTCATCTATCGCACACGATGGCGCCATCACATGTTGAATGAATCCTTATGTAACAATACTACACATATCTTTATGTAACAATACTACACATATCCTTATGTAACAATACTACACATATCCTTATGTAACAATACTACACATATCCTTATGTAACAATACTACACATATCCTTATGTAACAATACTACACATATCCTTATGTAACAATACTGCACATATCATTATGAAACAATACTACACATATCCTTATGTAACAATACTACACATATCCTTATGTAACAATATTACACATATCCTCATGTAACAATACTACACATATCCTTTATCCTTATGTAACAATACTATACATATCCTTATGTAACAATACTACACATATCCTTATGAAACAATACTACACATATCCTTATGTAACAATGCTACACTTTTATCTGGTACACAATGGAAAATATTAAATTTCGGATTTAAAAATCAAATTTCATGACTTTAATATATCACTTGTTTTTTTGTTTTGTTTACGTTGAAATTCTTTTTTTAGTTTTGTCTAAATAAGCTTTTTAAAAACATGTTCCTCCATGTTTTAGCTGACGAAGAACTGGGTGGTCAGTCTTGCGCTATTTTATTAATCGTATGAATATTCCGAAACAAAAGTTAACACATACCTAGCCTTGAAATTCTGTAATAAATCAAAATTGTCTACAAATTTCAAAGGAAATGATAAATATTATTATTTTTGAAAACAGGAAAAACAGATCACATTTATCGATCAAAATATTTCAAATATTGTGTCTGTTATAATAAATTACCTGTCTGACTGGAATGTTTTAAAATTTGACGGACCTGTACTCTGTGGCTGGAATCTCCTTCATATGGGTCAATATCCCTAATGCGTCTGAAATTGGGAAACTCAGTCTTAGATACACGATTTTTGTTTAGTTGTCATTAGCTTTTAATTTGCTGACAGTGACTGCGAGTACGCTCAGATCTGTACTTTTTTGTTTTTTTTTGTTTTTATTGATGTAAAATACCCTACCACGTGCTGTCTGTGGTTTTGTTTGATGTTTTTTTGTTTTTTTTTTTGCTTTGTATCGATCTAATGAGTTAATGCATTTCCATGTGAGTTATATAGAGTGTTCTAATATTATCTCCTCTACCCCAGGTTAGGAAGAAGGTGGGCGAGATAAATACATTCAGTAGAAAATATTCCTTTTGATAAAACACGGAGTTAGTCCATTCGACGCCCCAATTTCAATTCTTAACATAGTCAGTCAAAACTTTGGATGACTATGTTTCATTGAATATATCTAAGGGGAAATAAGCGGCTTATAACATTGTTTTTTACGAAATCATGGATTGTTTAGCATTAACGCAAATTAATATTGTATCACACAATTGAAAAAAATAGATATGTTTACCACCTCTTGAGACGATTAAAACGTTTCGTAAATTGAAAAAATGGATTTCAAGGCCTTGGCTAATGGATATTCCTATCGAATCTAGATCAATATATGAATTCGCAGGGAGACGTCTAAAAATGTTAACATGCATTCTTAAATATAAACAGAACCTTACCTTTGTCAAGCGGATATTTAAATATAGCGTGTGAATCTTTTCCAAGTGAGTAAAATTGAAAGTTTAAATTATAATTTTGACATTTAAAATAATTGCCAATTATCTGGGTGGAAACTGATAACCTCTATTTTAAGGATTACATTTTAAAACTAAGCACGATGATAACTAATCAAACTATTCATTTTCGATTTTTCACAGAATTCAACTTCATGAAATCGAATAATTAGTACTTTTCATTCATCGAATCAAAAGACAGATACATTTCTTCCAATGATGTGCCGGTTTGAAGTGAATTAATTACTAAAATGAAAACAACACGTTATAAATGTCTATCATGCTACGTATCATCATTGAAGAACACAGCTGTGGTTAAATATCACCAAATTATTCATTGCATCTGACCAACAATATAACAACTATGGTCATAAAAAGCTTAACTGAAATACGGTGACACGTTTTTCATAGGGTTTCTGAAAAAAGTGGAACTTGCAAAATTTACAAGTGTGAGTTGCATCAATCAGAAATGCATGAACCAGGTAAATAATGCCGATATCAATTAAATTTATGAGAACAGACCTTTATCAAATCTGTAAGGAGTGTTGTTTCTGATTTTTGTAGTTTTTGTCGAGGATCATTATTCACATCACAGCTGTAGTTTTCTCAGCTAGGTCTTTGTAGCAGCACACGCCATGGAATAGGAGTTCCTTCATAAAATAAGTTTCAAATAGAAGAAATATTCTGGTATATTTTTTCCACTGGAACAAATATTACAGAATGTGTTACTTACAGAATAAATGGAATATAATATTTGTTCCAACAGGAACAGATATTATGGCATTGTTTATAACACAGATTTTAAGGGAGCTTATGTAAAGCGGAAGACAGACCTTGCTTTTCAAATTATGCGTCGTCTGTTATTTCTAAAGTAAAGATGTAGTATGGTTAAAAATGAGACAACTCTCCATCGTACAAATTCGCACATGAAGCTGATTTTGCCCAACTACACTGTGTACATGTACCGGATCAGG